TGAGGGGACCTGGGGCTGAGCCACCTTTCGCAGCCCCCGGCCACGTGCCACAGGGGGGCTGCAGGGGAGGCCCCCTCACCATCGAAGTCCACGCGCCCGTCCCCATTAAGGTCGACGTCCTGCAGGATCTCGTCCACCTCCTGTGCCTTCAGCTGCTCGCCCAGCAGCGCCGCGATGGCCTCCCGCATCTCCGCGCTGCTGATCTCCCCGTCCCCGTTCACGTCGAACTGCGGCGCCCGCAGGTTGGGGTCACCCTCTCCACCGGCCCCACCACCCTCCCTCCAGGGCCACGGTCACCCCCTGGTCTTCTTGTGGTCACCATCCCCTCCATGCCCGTGGTTACCCCCATGGTAACCATTTCCCTGCAGTCAAGGTCTCCCCGTGGTCTTCCCATGGTCACTGTCCCCTCCATGCCCATGGTAACCCCCATGGTCACCATTTCCCTGCAGTCATGGTCACCCCATGGTCTTCCCATGGTCACTGTCCCCTTCCATGCCCATGGTCACCCCCATGGTCATCGTTTCCCCATGGTCATGGTCTCCCTGTGGTCTTCCCATGGTCACCATCACCTCCATGCCCGTGGTCACCCCCATGGTCATCATTTCCCTGTGGTCATGGTCTCTCCGTGGTCTTCCCATGGTCACCGTCACCTCCATGCCCATGGTCACAATTTCCCCGTGGTCATGGTCACCCCATGGTCTTCCCATGGTCGCTGTCCCCTCCATGCCCGTGGTCACCCCCATGGTCACTGTTTCCCCATGGTCATGGTCACCCCGTGGTCTTCCCATGGTCACTGTCCCCTCCATGCCTGTGGTCACCCCCATGGTCACCATTGACCCGTGGTCATGGTCACCCTGTGGTCTTCCCATGGTTGCTGTCCCCTCCATGCCTGTGGTCACCCCCATGGTCACCATTTCCCCGTGATCATGGTCACCCCATGGTCTTCTTGTGGTAACCAACCCCTCCATGCCTGTGGTCACCCCCATGGTCATTGTCCCCCCATGATCTTTCTGTGGTCGCTGTCCCCTCCATGCCTGCGATCACCCCGTGGCCGTGGTCCCCCGTGGCAGTGGCCATACCTCACGGAAGGCGATCTTGAGCTCCCTCACGCCCACCATGTGGGCCGTCTCCTCCCGCAGCTTCGGCCCCATCATCTGCACAAAGTCCTCAAAGTCCACGCGGCCGCCCACTGCACATGGGAAAGGGACAACCTCAGCGCCCCACGTCCCATCCCCTGCCCCCCAGCCTCCCCCCAGGCCTTGCCCCACGGCAGCCGGCCCCACGCTCACTCCTCATCTTGATGTGTTGGGAGATCTCGATGAGCTCCATCTCGGTGGGCATGTATCCCAGGGTGCGCATGCAGGCACCCAGGTCCTTGTAGCTGATGTACCCGTCCTGGTCCGTGTCGAACTCCTTGAAGGCGTCCAGCAGCTCTGCCCACACACGCGGGCACACGTGGGCATGTGGACCCCGTCAGGCATGGGGGGGTCTCCCAGGCACCGAGCCAGCCTGGGTCAGGTGTCCCCCCCCTCGGATGCGGTACCATGGCACGTGGCCCCATGGCACTGCACCCCTTGGAAGAGCCCTCCATGACACATGTCCCCATGGCAAGAGCCCTCCATGACATGTGTCCCCACGGCATTGCATGCCATGGCAGAGCCCTCCATGACATGTGTCCCCATGGCAGACCCCTCCATGACACGTGTCCCCATGGCAAGAGCCCTCCATGGCACGTGGCCCCATGGCACTGCACCCCTTGGAAGAGCCCTCCATGACACATGTCCCCATGGCAAGAGCCCTCCATGGCACGTGGCCCCATGGCACTGCACCCCTTGGAAGAGCCCTCCATGACACATGGCGCCATGGCAAGAGCCCTCCATGCCACATGTCCCCATGGCACCACGCCCCATGGCAGAGCCCTCCATGACACGTGTCCCCATGGCAAGAGCCCTCCATGACATGTGGTCCCCGTGGCACTGCACCCCATGGCAAGGCCCTCCATGACACGTGTCTCCATGGCACTGCGCCCCTTGGAAGAGCCCTCCATGACACATGTCCCCATGGCAGAGCCCTCCATGACACATGGCGCCATGGCAAGAGCCCTCCATACCACATGTCCCCGTGGCACCACGCCCCATGGCAGACCCCTCCATGACATGTGTCCCCATGGCAGAACCCTCCATGACATGTGTACCCATGGCAAGAGCCCTCCATGACATGTGGGCCCCATGGCATTGCGCTCCATGGCAGAGCCCTCCATGACATGTGTCCCCATGGTAAGAGCCCTCCATGACACGTGGCCCCATGGCATTGCACCCCATGGCAAGGCCCTCC